ATGATTAGGTGACTAATTGGGTAACCCTATTTAACCTCTCCCTCTCTAAGCTGTGCTTAAGAGGGAGATTCCTATTAGATAATTACAGTTTTAAAGCATGAACCCAGCTTGGGTGATGAGCTTAAGATCATAATGCAAGTCAAGAATACTGGTTTATAAAATTAAGCATGAATAAGTATTTCATGTGAACACTCCTTTATTGACAGAACTCATGCAGTCATCAGGATCAGTTGGATATTTCACATGGGAGATCTTATCAGTCAAGAGACTACATACAAAATATGTTTTACCCATGAGCTTCAAATACTATCATTGTCCACCCCCAAAATCGGATAAAAGAAAATAATCCCATTTTTTAACAAAACAAAAATCCAGTCAATTTACTGACCTTAACTATGAAAACCAGATTTCATCTTGTTGAGTTATGTTGATTGGGATTATTATATTCTGTACCAAGACTTAATCTGGATATGTTTGATATTCACTGCATTTTATTTAAAAAAAAACAACTGCCTTGTAATGCATCCTGAAAATTTTGGTTATGGAGGGATCAGAAGGATAATCAATTAAGCCATTCCTCCCGCACCACATACAAAATTGTGTGGACTGTAGAAATAATTGTGGGGCTCAAATTGCAGTTTCTGCACTGCAGCAGCTTCAGGGTGTCCAGGAAAGGGCTTGGTCTAACCCATGTCTTGTAATGCATGATTTCTAATCTTAGCTTTACAACCAGCTCAAACATAGTAGCAAAGACAGATAAAAATACTCCCATTCTGAAGTATGCCACAAATCCCAGAATATGAGAAGAGTCCTCCTTTATAAGCAGGGTTATCATCTTTGGTCTTCAAGTGGCCATAATATAAATCGAATTGAAATATATGATTAAAAATTACAGACTCTCTGAAAAACCAGCTGAACCATGTAGCTACTTTTTAAGCCGGCCACTGTCAGGCCCTTGTAGCCTAAAGATCTAGCTTATTCCTGAAAAGAACAAGTTCCATGCTTAGTGGAGATGCCATAAAAATATTTTTTTTAAAACCTACCAGCACTAGTAAAAATCTAATAACAAGAGAGATCTTGAATTATGCTCAACAGAGTTCAAATTTATTTGGCTGGTAAGATCATTAGCAGCTGATCTCTATAGAGTTTTGAAATTATACTGAAAGGATTAATATACAAAGGACTATTTCTTTCTAGATTAAACTGCAATTGGCTGCTCTTTTACAATCAAGAATCCAGCTGACTACAGTATATAAAGTCAGAAAGTATTTGGAAATTGGAATGGTTTTGTTTTAGTTTGTTTAGCACTGTAAGTGCAAATACCCATAGATTGGCCTGTTTATACCATACTTTTAGTTATAAACCATGGATAATGTATCCCATGGCTGAGTTCACACAACCTGCTAAGAAAATAGATGAATTCTAGCATGGCTTAGCATAAGTAAACTTGACTCATTGGTTCCAAGTTTTGTGGCATGTCTATTGTGTACTATGTCGTGTATGTAAACATTCCTTAAGGATTTTAGTACAGGTGCTGATATAATTTCTGCCACTGCTGATTTTGCAGAGATAAGAATCTAAAAGCTATTACTTATATATCTGTGTAGAGTCAGCACAGAGAAAAACAGCTAACGTAAAATATATTCTGTGTATGTGAACAGTAGAAAGCAAACACCTTTCTCATGGTTTTAAGTTGTCTTTCACTCCCCCAAAAAGATAGATTCAAAAAATTTGCTAAGACTATTTTAGTACAAACTCTTTGGGATTGAAAGTCCCAGAATTCCCAGCATTTAGTCATGCAGACTGGGAATTCTGGGCATTGACGTCTCAAGTCCCTGGGATATCAAGTTAAACAACGGTACCACAACCATTTCTTTCCCTGAACTACAAAGCCTTCAACCAGATTTCCCCAATGCTTTTATCTGCTGTGCTACAGTGCTAGTGGTATTTATGTGAATGCATAAGTTCTTTTTAAAGTATGATGCAATTTATGAGATTACTTTGGGGGTGGGGAGAGGGAAATGTTTATCACACAACTTTCTCATCAGAGAGGCTGAGTCTAACCATACCTGTTTGACTGCATGTAAGATCCCTGGGTATTTACAGCAGGGTGTCCAACCTTGACAACTTTTAAGACTTGTGGACTTCAACTCACAGAATTCCTCAGCCAGCATGGTTGGCTACGGCATTCTGGGAGTTAAAGTCCATAGGTGTAGACACTTCAGCATTCTGGGAGTTAAAGTGCCAAGGTTGGACACTCCTGATTTGCAGGGACTGTGGGCTACACGTGAATGTTTCTGTATTCAACAAAACAAATATTTTCAACATGGATACAGCTTACTCTAGAAAAAAGGCATTTCTCTGGCAAACATCCATTTTTTAAAAAATTTGTACCTTTTGCCACAGTAACTGAAATTAGTTCAAATATTAGTTTAGAACTTTTAAATACATTCTTTACTTAGATATATAATCGGCATTTACTCTGTAAAGTAAGCCTGAACCATTGTCCTCCATTTTATAGATGGGCAAACTGAGGTCAAAAGCATAGCAAAGCCAAAGTTCAAAGACTTCTTGAACTATAGCAACTATGCCACATTAGCTTGGGAAAAAAAATGGCAGCTATTGCCTCCATATTCTCTTTATGAATTTTCCTAAATCTTTCTCTCCTGCTGAAAAGTGCTCTGCTTTGCTTCTGCAGCACATTGGTTATTTTCTTCCAGTGGAAGCTGTCGGGATTCTCCCTTTGCTAAAGAGGTGTGGAAATCTCATTTTAGAAAAATATGATCCAATATTCATAACAATACTTTGAAAACACGGGCCAGTCTGCTTTGAGTCATGTTGTGACGATCCTGGTTTTTTCCCCCTTCCTTTTTATTCTGCCCAGCTGCTGTCAGGTTGAGAAATAACCAGCTCTTCACCTTCATGACTCATCTGCAGATTATCAGTGAAGCTTCAAATGTTCCCTGGTGCTGTCAGACTTCCATCAACAAGGACCTGGAGGCGAGAATGGCGTGCATGGGGTAATGGAAAAAGGAAGGAACACGGAAGTTGGCAGGAAGACTTAAAGGTCATGAAACTGCACTGGCTTTGGAAGAAGGCAGGTTAGGAACAAGTTAGGGCTGCAACCTTCGTATCTATGACATACAAGTTAGACTGGCTTCTCCAGTCACGTCCCTCTCGATGCGCTGAGTACTAAAAACACCAATTCAAAGCCTGTTTGGTTAAAAATACAAGCTATAAGTTCAGCCCGCCGTATAGCAGCAGGGCAGATTTTAATGCACTTATAGGTAGTCCTTGACTTGTGACCAACTTTTCCATTTGCTAAGCAAGGTGATTATTGAGATGTGCCCCATTTTACCATTTTTGCCAAGGTTAAGCAAATCGCTCCCGTTGTTAAATGATTTGTGGTTGTTAAGCAGCTCTGGCTTCCCCCCATTGATTTTGCTTGTTAAAAGCCAGCTGGGAATGTCGCCAGTGGTGATGGTCTGACACTGGGATAGTGCAACCTTCATTAAATCCATGACACCCGAATTTTAATCGGGTGGCCATGAGGATGCTACAATGGTCATAAGTTTGAGAACCGGTCATAACTCACTTTTTTTCAGTGCTGTTTTAATTTCGAATAGTCACTTCACGAATGATTGTAAATCAATGACTAACGGTATTTTACCCCACAACAATCCAAATGGATCGATGGGAGGGTGACTGGTCTAAAATTATCCAGTAAGCGGCTTAATTGAAGGAGGATTTGAATCTGAATTCTCCCCAATCCAGTTCCAGCACCTTAACTGCTAAATTGGCTCTTTTCCAACCAAAGCCCCCTCCCCCCACCCCAAATGTACTGTAGATATAAAAACACCCCATTTCTGTTAGAGAAAGGCTGGCGCAGTGCAGAGGGAAACCCCTTCAGCCCACATCACTTTCAGATTGAAAAAAGCTGAACAAGCTCTCTGAAGTCCAGTTTTTGTATTGGTGGATTTTCCTCAGTCCTTCTGAGAAGCTACGAGTAGAGCATTCTATGGTGATGATGCTCGCCGATTTTTTACAAAGATGCATTTTCGCAAAATAAATTATATTAAGCCTACTAGATATTTAGCATGTTTGTTGGGTGTGCTTATTAAAAAATGAAAACAGGCTAAATTGCCATAGCATGACGCTGTAGGAACTGGAACTGTAAATTATATTCAGAGCTGAATGAAAGGATGGAGGCCATGCAGCAGCCTCTTAAAAGAGCTATTTCCAATCACGGCAGCCGGTCTCGACTTACAGTCAGACTCTAGTTCTGCAGACGGTAGCTTTACTGGACTTTATCAGCGGTGCAAAAGTTTAGAGGGTTTTGCTCAGGAAGAGCTTGCTGGAGAAGTGAGTACCTTTTGCAAGGTCACAGATCTTCTCAACTGACCATGGACTCGCACAAGGAGCCCACTTCAAATACAGAAATGATACCCACAGAAGAGCATACCTGTAGCTCAGGGCTGAACTGTGGAGTCCTTGCTACTCCGAGTTTGGTTGTTGCATGGATGTTACCTAGTTGGGTAATGAAATGTTTGCAACAAACAACCAAACTCGGAGAGCACAAGGGCTCTATAGAAATGTTACATCACCAGTGGAAGGCACATCAGTGCTGTTAAATAATTTGGCTCTGGGCCTGGCCAATTTGCACTTCTCATAACTTTCATCATATCAAACTTAGCAAAGCAGCCAAAACAAAGAAACAAACAGTAATGTACCTTCCTCTCTGGCCTCTACTAAAAGGACTTTCTGTGAGGTGACACATATGTCAAAAGCCTGAACAAAGCAAAAATTATATTCAGGTTCAGGAAATTATTAAAAGCAGAATTGTTTAAGGAGCCTTTGATTCATAGATGTCACCATATATTTTTACTGCATTTAAGTGATCTGTGGTTGAACTGCTTATTGTTATGCAATTGTTCTTTAGACGATTTGATGATTTGCTAATAATTTCTTAATGCAATGGGCAAAAAATTGAATAAATGTTCTTTTTGTACAAAATATTATTTTTATCAGAGTAGACAACAAAGACATGATTACAGTATTAGGAAAAGCTTACAATAAAAAGGGGGAAAAAAAAGAACAGCTTAACCCTCAGTCCAAACCCCATTTGCTTCATTCCTTTTAAGTCGACTCAGGAAATATATCCTTAGCATCAGTCAGGAAAATAATATTATCTGAAAGCACAAAGAAGAAGAGACACAATTATTACACACACATACATATATATCTGGATTTCGTCAGCAGTTTAACTTCCTTTTTTCAGATTTATCTTTTCCATCTTGCCTTACAGACTATTTGTACAGGCAGTCCTCGACTTAACAACAGTTCATTTCGTGACCGAAATTACAAGGGCACTGAAAAAAAAATGAATTATGACCATTTTTCATGCTTATGACCATTGCAACATCCCCATGGTCATGGGATCAAAATTCAGACACTTGGCAACTGATTCATATTTATGATGGCTGCAATGTCCTGGGGTCATGCGATTACTTTTTGCGACCTTCTGACAAGCAAAGTCAATGGGGAAGCCAGATTCACTTAACAACCCTGTCACTAACTTAACTGCATTACTTCACTTAACAATCGTGATAAAAAGGGACATAAAACGCGGCAAAGCTCACTTAACAACTGCCTCACTTAGCAAAAGAAATTTTTGATCATAAGTCGAGGACTATCTATACCTGATATTGGAATTTTTTACATGCACCTTATCAACTTGCTGTGTCTAGTCAGCCATCCAATTCAGGCTCAAAGTACATTACATATTCTACATACAATACTAACTACAGGTGTTTGGAAGTTACAAAATAAGAACAATCCTGAATTGATCAGCATGCAGTATAAGCCCTGCAAGCTGCATTGTTATTATAAAATCCGTTAAGTGAAACTATCTTCTGGCAACTATTACAATTTTTTGCAGTGAGGATCATTCGCTGCTTAGAGATATCTAGTAGGCTGGTTACTATAAGCCATCTGAGCGCCAGTGAAATAATAGTAATCATAGGATTAGAAGTCCCAACTTCAAGCACCTGCTCCACCATTAAACTCATGGGGACCTTCTCTTGTCCATCAGTCTTTGAACAGAGACTTAAAAGAACCCATGGAGATTTTTGTTGAAGGGAGAAAGTGTACACCATCTTATGTTCTTTAAAAAAAAATAAAGATGTAGTACAAAATACTTGTAGCTCGGGTTTTAGATTTTAACAGTGGTTTGCTCTCCGAGCTTGCCATTTAGTTTCCAAACATTTCGTTACCAGGCTAGGTAACATCATCAGGGCAACTTGGTAGAAATGTCTTGTTCTATTCCTGTTTAGCTTATATATGTCTTGGGTGCTGGTGTGGTCATCGACCACACACACATGAATTTACTGAAGCCTGGTGTTCTATAAAAGGGACAATTAACAAGCATATTGATTTAGATCCAGTATATAAACACTTAAGAAATTGGACCATTTGAACGACCAATCAACAACGGAACCAATCAGCTCCCCAGCAGTTGAAAATAATGACAGTCACGCAATAACTGACCACACCAGCACACAAGACATATATAAGCTAAAGAGGAACAGAACAAGATATTTCTACCAAAGTCCCACTTATTGATGTTACCTAGCATGGTAACGAAACGCTCAGAAATTAAATGGCAAGCTCAGAAAGCACTGAGAAACCACTACGAAAATAGAGATGTAGTCTTCTTCAAGTCAAGCTCACTGTTAAATGTGTGTGTCCAAATATGTGTTGTCTCTGGACAACAGTGTGGAAATATTTGTCATTTCCCTTTTCCAGAATGTTTACTCAGTCTAGCCCAGGATTTCCAAAACTCCATGTTAATATTGCTACAAACTACGAGCTCTAGAACAATACAATGCTTTTCTTCATTCTTAATTCCCCCCATTTGTCAAAGAGCAAAAGAACTTGACCACAACATTACATCATTAGGAAAAGGTGGTCCATAAAAGAGTATCACCATTCTGTCATTTTTGGACTTGAAGAGACATAATTTCATGGAGTTGACTGTGAAAATGGCAGAGCTTATAGAAATGGCTAAATTGATTTGTTTGGAAAAAGAAAGAACAATGACTTTACACAAAGGACCAGAAATCCTTTATGGACTTTTCACTGAGAGTGGATAAAAATGAACTGTTGATTTCTGGATTTATTGATTAAAAAGAGTTCTATATGGGAAGAAGGGAATTATGTTAATATGGTAGGGTAGAAATAGGATTAACTATGCAATTGCTACAAAGAAAGTTGGATGTCACTTTTTAAAATATTTTTCCTGATTCACTTTCTCTTCTATTTTTCTATTTTCCCTGCATATTCTTCTCTTTTTACTGTTTTTTTATCTTTTTTTGTAACTTTTAACTTTGTAAGAATATTCAATAAAAATTACATTGGAAAAAAGGGATGTACTTTTCCTCATTTTTTAAACCTCTCCTTCCTTCCTTCTCTTGCTTTTAAAGTTTCTCTTGTAATACTAAACCCAGCAGAGAGAAAATGTAGTAAGTTAAAAGGAATCAATGGCCCAGGCAGACATTCAATATTTCCTGGTACATGTCTGCATCTGAACTTTCAGCCAAGCTTACTTTCCCTTACAAAGCAAACCTGTTCATTCTGTGCGAGAAGATAGAAAGTGGCCAACGCTGTCAGTTCTCAAGCAAACAATCTTGCCTGTCTTGTGTTTTTGGCTTCCACCTCCATAGTCTCCAACACAGCATGGTAGGGGAGGATGAGGGCTGTAATTTAAGCCATCTGACAAGGAACATTGCATTGAGAACTTTGTGCTCCTACAGACTTTTTTTTAAAGAAGAGCATCCAAGAGAGACATCTAGTGGAAGAAATAGGAATTTAAGTATGGCCTAATAATCTGTAAATTTAGGAGAATCCCTCGGGGAAGCAATGTAGGAGTCTATGCAGCAACACCCATCTTCACTTTTAGCACTTGCAGTTCAAAACATTTTACCTGCAATGACAGTTGTGGCTTGCCGCCTCACATTGTTTTTATCTATATATTCGCCATAATCTATTTTTCCCTCCACGTAGATCCGAGCACTGTCAAGAACCAAACATACAAATAATCGCATATTAATTGCAGCCCTCAATTTTTACTTTTTTGTTTTTTCCCTGTATTTTTTCATATTCCACCTTTATTATTTTTACAAATAAACTCAAGGACACACAATACTCCTCCCTCCCTATTTTCCTCGTAAGAAGAAGACTGTGAACTGGATTCGGTTGAGAGCATGCAATCAGCCGAAAGTCACCCAACTGCCTTTCATGACTAAGGTGGGACTTGAACTCGCAGTCTTCCTCTTTCTAGACCAGTGGTTCTCAACCTGTGGATCGGGACCCCATTTGGGGTCGAACGACCATTTCACGGGGGTTGCCAAACAACGCAGTCCGCCATTTTTCCCCCCCTTTTCCTTAGCTGTGCTACTCCCTTTTATTCTATTGGCTTTTGAAAGCCAATAGAATAGACTCTCTTGAATAGAGTCTAATTCTATTGGCTTTCAAAAGCCAATAGGAAGTGTCCAGGCTGTCTCTGCCCTGCTGAGCCTGCCAAAAGTCCCATTCTGCAAACGGTGCTGCACCAGTTGAGTAGGCCTCGACTTACGACCGGTTGAGTAGTTCTCGACTTACGACCGGTTGGGGGTCACAGCATTAAAAAGGTTGAGAACCACTGTTCTAGACTGATGCCTTAGCCACTAGACCAGGGGTAGGCAACCTTGGCTCTTTTATGACTCGTGGACTTCAACTCCCAGAATTCCTGAGCCTACCCCTGCACTAGACCAAACTGGCCCTTTATTATAATTAAGGACCAGAATCTCACTTGAAAGTAAACATTAAAATTTACAAAATAAAAGAATATAAACAATAACAAAAAAACAGTTGGTTACAACAGGTTTTACATACAATAAAAAATGACTAATTCAAAGAAATTGAATTATACTGGGTGACTACCAGCAATGGTACTTAACACAAATTTAAATGACTTAGACATTTAATTTAATTGGGGAAACAAAATGTACTGTAGGTGTGCATTTCTATAAAATGGGCAACACAACTATGTATGGCTCATATTTTCAACTACAGTTAACAATGAACAGTCTTAAAATAAGTGATTTTCCTTCAAGGACAGTTGTTGAGTAGATTTTGAAATATGTTAGGGTTAGCACTCTCTAAATTTGGGAATATTTGATTTAAAATCTCTTGCTGAACTAAGTAAGTTTCAAATCTTGTAAAAGTTTTGCCTTCATCTTTAATTGAAAAATTACTTCCTTGTAATTAAATCAGTATTTAATGCTCCCATCAGTGCATGCTTCTTATATGTTAATTATGTGAATTACAGAAGATCAGAGAAGAGGATTTTAATTATTATTGCCAAGGCTGTGTTTGGCAAAAGGAATTGCCAAAATAATCCTATCCGGCTGACTACAAACCATATGCCCCTCTTGGCATCCACTTTGTTTCCTTTCCTTTTTTCTCAGGGATATTTTTTAAAAAATGAAACTGTGAAGAGCTGTAGCCGAATTTTTCCTCTTAACACCAGTCTCAGTAAGGAAAAAAGCTTTGCTCTATGAAATTTCAGCAAAAAAATGCATCTCTCATAAGCTAACTGTTCATTTTTGCCCCAGACAATTGGTAAATCTGGTTCTAGCAGTACCAAGGACCAGAGTACGATAAAAGCAGCACAAGCAAAATAAATCAGATACAGCCACTCTGAGTCTATTATTGTGAAGGTGATCAGACTTTGAACAAAGACCAGCTTCTCCCAGACAGCATTAGGCAAGATTAGGCAAATAATTAGACATGATTTATGAACCTGGAGGACTAGAAATAAACTCTTATTTGAATGAAACATGTTGGAAAGTTCACCCAACAACATCTCAGTTCAACTTACCCCTTCTTCACAAACCGATAAGCTAAGTCTCTCAGCCCCGGCCTGAACACTGAGACCCTGTGCCATGTGGTCTTCTGTGTAACATCGTCTAGGCCATATATAAGACACAAAAAAGATTTTCAGCAACATCCAGAGATTTTGAGTATTGACTATAGCAGAGATGGGCAACCCAGACCCCAGTTTGCAGCTTTTGGTGGCATGATTATTCAGTTTTCAAGATCTTAAGCCTGCCTTGCAATCTGGCTGTCCTCAAGAATGGCACACATTTGGTCTCACACAACCAGAGGCATTGCTATAATATCAATGACATCAGTACAATACATGGAGTAGCTGTGAGTGGGTCCTTTTGTATCTAGGAGTTTATCATCTTTGGATGAGATTACACTAGCCCAGACAGACCTGATGCATTAAATTAGAGGTCCTCTTGGATTCACAGCTCCTGCTCAAAGAGCAAGTTGCAGCTGTAGTCTGGAAGGCCTTAGCCCAGTGGTGGTGAATCTATGGTACGGGTGCCAGAGGCGGCACTCAGAGCCCTCTCTGTGGATATTTATTTATTTAATTTTATTTATATGCCGCCCAATCCCAAAGGACTCAGGGCGGCGTACAAAATTAAAACAATCATCTAACAATAATACAATAAAATAATACAATCATGCCGCATGTCCGATCATATCCCCCCCCCAGGGACATCAGCCCCAGGCCTGCCGGAACAGGAGAGTTTTAACGGTACACGTGCCGTTGGCCCAGTCTTGCCTCCCGCTGTGACCCCCTCACCAGCAGCCCCCCTGGAGAGTTGCCCCTGAGCGTGGCCCACGCGGACCAGCGCAGCCAAGGACATGGCAGCCAGGCAGTGTAGACAAGACTCTGCCTCATGCCCCATCGCGCAGTTGATGCTGCGGGACGCGGGTAGAGGGCGTGGCCACCATGGCGCTGGTGGGCTGCCTGGGCGATCTGCAGTGGGCCCTGGAGGCAGTGAGTAACCCTGCGGGCAGGTGGGGTGGGGGTGGAGCAGGGGTGGGGCAGAAGGTGGAGTGGGGGCAGGGCCAGTTTTTGGGCACTCGGTCTCTAAAAGGTTCGCCATCACTTCCTTAGCCCAACTCCGGGTTGTGTGCCAGTTACCCCACCTTCCTGGATAGGAGGGTCTCTGAGCAGTCACTTATGCCCTGATTATCTCCCAACTGAATTACTACAATGCAATCTACATGGGGCTACCCTTGAAAAGTGTCCGTAAGCTTCAACTGTTGCATAATGCAGCTGCATGAGCCATACTGGATGCCCAATGAAAGGTACATATAACACCTTTGCTCTGTGAACAGCACTGAGTGCCAGTTTGCTTCTGGATCCAATTCAAGGTGTTGGTCATCATCTATAAAGCCTGACATGGCATAAGGCCAGGTTACCTATGGAACTGGCTGTGCTGCATCACATCAGTCTGCCCCATTGATTCAAGCAGGGTATGTTGCAGACCCCTTCAGTCAAAGAATTTTGACTAGCGGGGTCTAGGAAAAGAGCGTTCTCTGCCACTGCCCTTCCACTGAGGCAAGGTCCCTAATCCCTTGGCCTTCCAACAAAGGGGTCAAAATTTGCAAGGCTGTGTGGCCTTGTGTGGGGAATACAGAGGCCCACCCAACTTTGGGGCTAGCTGACCCCATTAGAACCCCCCTCCACACCTGTATTAACAATTGCTAACTCCCCATCTTGGAATGTTTGACCTTTTTAAATTTGATTTTATTGGCTTTCCTAATTAGTTTCCCAGAAGTAAATAGTGGCAGTGACTCAGTTCACCAAAACTGCACTTTATGATCTTTCAGTAAGTGAGCTGCAGGAAAAATAATATTTTTTGCCTAAATAATATTTTTAGTAAATCTAAGGACCTCCTAGTTTAAAAATAAATTATTAGGACAAGTAAATTATTAGTGCAAGAATACTATGTAAATACATTTAGGCACAATCAGGAGCAGCTTTATCAGTTAGTTGCTAGGACAAGACTCCAAGATTTCAAAAACCATTAGCAGGTGATGGAGGAAGAGAAGTTGTTAAAAATGAACTTCAAAAGTTAAGAACTGAAAGCTTGTGATTATATATAATTTTGAACCCAAGAATATAGGAGAAATCCCATTTGGAGAGCTTTCCAAAATGGCAAGGTATTAAATTATCCCTAGAGGAAGAAAAGAATACATTTTCCTTATTTTCTTGCTACAATGGCCCCAGGGGACACCAATTTACAGATTAGTGAATGTATGTCTGTGTATGTGAATATAGGAAATAAGAGAGCATAGATGCATGCATATTATTGCTGACATCACAACACAGCATACAGTCTCAAAAGACTGAGCCCATACATAATTCAGTTTAATGCCAAAATGGTTGACAAGCTATTGCTACACACACTTACCTCCTTGAATCACCTCAGTGTCTCCCGATCGCCACATCTCATTGGTAGCTAGGCTGAAAATTGTGACAGGATTTTTTCCTTCCATTTGTCTCATGACAGGATCCTGTCCTACTCGACCAAGCAGTTGGATACGATTTAAAGCTAAACAAAACATCAACACCAGATGGTAAAGAAGAATGCATAAAAGTTGCATTGCAACCACATGACCTAAGAAGCCAGGCCCCATTCTTTGTCCCTTGAGAAGCTACTTACATCTTTCTAGAGTTGTTGAGACCTCAGATTCATGTCTTACAAACTGGCGCATCACCTAAAGAAAGAAAATTCATAGAGTAGCCATTCCAATTGCCAACATCATTCCATGGAGTAGTGTTCACTCAACAGGTTCTCTCAACTACATTTAGACTGGTTCCCATGCAGCACAGCCACTCTGACATTGAGAGTCTCCATCCCACTATATGGGGGAAGGCTGCAAAATAACTTTCCCTGAATGAACCTTACACAACTGGAAAAAATGGGCAGGTGAAGGGGAAAATACACAATCATGTTGCTGTTTTATATAGGTGATCACTGTCACCTTATCACATATTAGCAGCAGTCATCCATGCTAATATATTTACTAGTACAAAAAAGGGGGGATTAATCCAAGATCCTGAGCAGGGTTCTCATATTTTAGCAATGAGCTTATGAAATGTCAAGAGAGGCAAATGTCTGCTTTAGGTAGCTAGATTGGAAAACAGAAGCCACATTGCCTTTCAAATTAAAAGCCCTTATTCAGGAAATAAGAGTAACCTCTTCAGTCAACAGTCAGAGGCTACCCAATTTCAGAAGGCAGGCAAATTACAGGTTTTTTTTAAATAAATGGACATTTAAAATCTTGCAGAATACATGCACAGTAGAGGAAAATCATTGGATAGGTTGTAACCAATGTTAAGCCATAGTTTAATTTCACCTCTTTGTTGAAGAATCCAACATAGGCTTTCTTCACTCATAATACCGAGCCATAAACTAGGACAGTGATGGCGAACCTTTTAGAGACCGAGTGCCCAAAAACTGGCCCTGCCCCCGCTCCATCCCCTGCCTCACCCCCACCCCGCCTGCCCAAAGGGCCACTCACCACCTCCAGGGCCCACCGCAGATCGCCCCGGCAGCCCAGCAGCGTCATGGTGGCCACACCCTTTGCCCGTGCCCCGCAGCATCAACTGTGCACAATGGGGCGTGAAGCCAGATTCTTGTCTACGCTGCCTGGCTGCCATGTTCTTGGCTGCACTGCACTGATCCGCATGGGCCACATTCAGGGGCGAGTCTCCTCCAGGGGGGCTGTGGTGAGGAGGAGGTCATGGGGGGAGGCAAGGCTGGGGCAATGGAGTGTGTGCCCACAGAGAGGGCTCTGAGTGCCGCCTCTGGCACCCGTGCCATAGGTTCACCACCACTGAACTAGGACCTACAAATCACAGTGATTAGGTTCATGCACTATTCTAAGCCATCAAGTAACTAAACAAACCACATTTTGTGAACCTGATCTCTGGCAAGATCTGTCTATTGGTCTGAATTTTATTCCAGAGGAACATATATAGCTCCTCTCTTTTCTTATTCAAACTTTTCTTCTTCCTTCATTTCTGAACCAGTTTATTTCTAATTTAGTTCTTCTAGTTGTTGCACTGGCTCCTGGTTTAGTTTATGAAGTTTATGCCTCCAAGTTTATTCCCTCATTATTGCCATTAGTGACTGCTTTTTCTCATCTTCATCCCTACTATCACCTACTAGGTTTCATGTTAGCAGCTATTACTACTGCTTTTTCTCAAATTACTATTTACTTACTATACTACTTCTCTGGGCCAGAAGAGAATGAGTTAATGAGTAAGATGCAAATTCATTTTTTACAAGTTTGGTTCTCATACATTAAAAAATGCTTTTAAAAAAAATTCAGATCTATAGATAATCAGGAGGATGACCTTTAGGGAAATAGGTAAGAACTGTTATATAAGCAAAGAGTCCTGGAAAAGAATATTAAGAGGGCACTGAAGCAGACTCTTCCCCGATTCTCAGGGATGTAATACACCGAGGCTTATAAGACTCTGTTACAATACACCAATATTTTTTCAAACTTGGAAACTTTAAGTTGTGTAGACTTCAACTCCAAGAATTTCCCAGCCAGAATGAGTTGAAGCCCGCACATCTTAAAGTTGTAAAGTTTTAAAAACATGTATAAACTAAAACTATTGTGTTCCAGTCATCCTGTGGAGAAAAATCTCCTGATAAGCATTTCCTTGAATGACTGACATCTAATCTCTTTCTCACCACCACCCCCCAATGTACTAAAGCCTCTGCAAATCCATTCAGCCAATATACTATTTAAAGATGATAGGGGAGGCAGTCCAACACATAAAGCCCAATGATCCTAAGATATAAACAATACATAGTTTTCATAAAAGCTATGAAATCACAAAATAGATACCTGAAATAGTGGTCTGTGGAACATTGTTGCTGTTTCATTTGTTGGTTACTTTTGGAAATGTTCTGAAAGACAAAGCAAGTATTAAAACAATCCATTTCCAATTAACAATTTAATGTTGGGAGCAAGCAAAGATGAGAATGGATCATTAATTCATATTCCACAACCTCAAATCCTACTGCTGTGTTATATCATTACCCCTATCATGTTCTATCAATGCTTCAATCAACATTGTCCAGGGAGTTAGAAGTAAACTGAAGAAAAAATGCAGTTCCTTCAACTTTCTTCTGCTAACCTAGGACTGGACTTACATAAGTCTCCAGTAATGAACTTGATTCAAAAATACTTGGTAGAATACTGTTTATTTATTACAGCAGTATCCTGTGCAGCTGGGCTTCATAGCCCAGCTTTCATTTCTATATCTCCTTTTTTTAAAAAACATACTCAACACAAAAATAGAACACAAGGGAAAAGAAACAAGAAGTGGGGGAAAAAGAGTGCCTCACCAAGAAACATACATCAATCCAATTCAATATAATTGAGGTGGGCAAAGAGTTAAGAATTAATTTAACATCAATCATTAGCTGAGCTCATGCATTGCTCCAAGCCATACTATGATTTGTTTTGCATGACCAAACACCTTTAGCAACAAACTAAAGTATAATTCATGTTTTATAACTCACATAAGTTATGTTACAGTCCAATCATGGGCAAATAAACCAGAAGTCATGTAGTACAGCATATATTTTTGGCTTGTTCCAAAATTGATATGCCCTCAAATATATACTACAGAAAATTACAAAGTTATATCTTATTAAAAAATTCATTTCGAGGACCAACATCAGAATTAATAATATAGTCTCCTTACAGACGCGTCTATGTATATATCTGATCGCTAGGAGGGGGGAAAGACTTGATGGCACACAATCAATCAAAGATTGGATTGGATAAAGATTAACTCAAAAAGTAGATCCCCGTGCAAGAGCGAAGTCTGCCGAAAAGTATCTAGTCTACGATGATTCCTCCTTTGCACCAAGAAGACCACGGCAGAGATTTCCAATTGAGCTGGAGTCTTTTGATGGGGAGGGGCTGCAGCCCCATTCACTACCGAGCAAAGCCAGGAGACTTGCGAAATCAAGCGAAGCTTAAACGAAAGCAAACTTGTAGGGCTCAGGGAAACTGGCTTCCCATTAAATACTCAGGAAATTAAAACCTTGGCTCTGGTGCGCTTCGGTGGAATTAATGCCCACATGTTTGTAGGAGAGGAGAAAAAGAAACAGCGAAACCTCCCGGCGGTGGATTCTTTTCCCTCGTAACCACGTGGTCTATTCTATGCCCTTGTCCCCCCATCCCCGGATACCTTCTACCAGCATGCTGGCTGGGCACGATAGGCTTTATAATCCGACATATCAAGACGGTACCCCATTTGGGGGCGATTATATTTGTACCTACTCGAGAAGCTTGTTTGCATCCGCTGGAGACAAGCCCTATCATATGATCGGGATGCTGGATTAGGAAAATGCAAGCAGTATTAGTAAGAAATCGCCCTCTTCCTTCCCGCCGCTCACTTAGAAACGATTGTCTTGCTCAGGTTTTACTCACTTACTTGCTTTCCAGCAGACGCCAGCAAATACTTCGGCCCGCCGAGCACGCACACGAAAATCCTTACGTGACTTCCAGGCGCTTCCTGTATTACGTTTACCCAATGGGAAGGCGGTTCGCCATAGAGATGCCATGGCATAGAAGGGCCTTGGACCGTAGAAAAGCGAGATCACCGGCGGCTTCCCTTTCCACCGGAAGTTCAATTTGTGACCCGCCTTTTTTTTTTTTTTAACCGTTGCCGAGTTTAACTCTCTTATTCAGCAGCGCGTGTTGCGAGGGAAGGTGCTGGTGGTGTTAAAGAGATCCTTTTCTCTCGCGAAAAGCGGTTCTTCCTTATGAAGGTTTTGGTTCTTTCGGATTTAGTTCCCCGTGTAATTGAGAATGAGAGTAGTATAGGTGTTTCCATTTGTATGTGGTTTCTTTGGCTTTATTTATTTAAAACATAAGTTCTTCCACACGTGTTAACATCATTCATGGGCTGGCAGTAAATTGCAGCCAACAATAAACCAAAATGAAATGTGCTTTGGCAGATACTGTACAGCCTCTCTTAAGTCCCTGGATATTAACACCATCTCTTGGGAACTTTTGGCGCACGATCAACCAACATGGCACACCTTGGTGTATCAGGGTTGCTAGACATGAACATAGAAGGACAATCTTGGCACAAGAGAAATGAGCACTCCCCAAAGCCAGAGCTGTAAATGCTGAAGTAACAGTGTCTATATTTCTTTGTTCAGTATGCGGCAGAGCATTCCATGCTAACATCAGTCTTATCAGCCACCTATGGACACATCGTTGATGGCCCATAATCCACAAGATGTCAAGGTCCTCATTGAAATTGATGGACGAACAACAATGGATGAACAACAATGCAGACGACATGAACCAAACTCTTAACATCTTATATAGAAGGGGCTTTTGAGTTTAACCTCAAAGTTAATTGTTTCCAGTTTTTGATTGCTCCAGGGTGTTAAGTAGGATTGCTTTCTAGTAAAGTTCTAACAGAACTTGTAAGGCCACACGTCTTTACCCAGATTTTGGCATAGCTCCACTACCAGAACAATTTCAGTACTATATTCTAAAATCCAATTTTAAAAAGTCCATATAATCAGTACAATTCAGATGTGTCTGAAGTTGCAAAGCCATTACATTCTAGATCACCTAAGAAATAGAAATTGAGCTATAATTATATAAACCTATTTCGAGGATTGTTTGTAACTACCTTTCCAAATATCTGCTGGGAGGCATTTTTCACCCTACTTAACCATAGAGCAATCTAGCCTAACATTTAATCAGTCATAAAAGGCAGACATACATCTTACTTCTCCAAACAGGCACATTTTCAAAAAAAAAAAAAAAAAAAATCCCATTTCAATCATTTGAAAGCTTTATCCCATATTGAGTTCTTAAAAAATAGTGAAATACTGTCAGGCACAAACAACCAGAGCTACTTGCAAATAGATAAATTATATTGCACAGTAAACAATTTTATTGACTTCTACCCATGTTTCAGAAATCTCCCCAGACTGCTTGCTTTTTCCTGAGAATGACTAGCTAAGGTTTCATGGGTCTTGGGAGAGGTCAAGCTTATGTCATTTGCAGTTACACAATGATTTCAAGCTGTATCTTTGTTTAACCCTTCCTTCCAGCCTAGCTGGCTGTTTCCCAACATCAACAAATGATTATCACATAGGCAAAAAGATACACATATTTACATGTGAGTGGAATTACTACACCCACTTTTCATTTAGTGACTTTGATTAGTGACCATTCACAAATATAACGATAATAAAGTCATTTTCTGACCAGTTCATCAATTTATGACCAAATTTTATGCACCTGACAATGCACACTGAAGTAATATTGGTATAGTAGTATGAGAACCTTTTCTAAATGAGATGGCATTTTCAAATTCTCTCTCTCTCTCTCTCTCACACACACACACACATACACACACACACACACACAGAGAGAGAGAGAGAGAGAGAACAACTGTTTTGCTTAGCAATCTAGTCAATGGAATAGAACTTAATTGCTAAACAAAGAGTGCTGTACTGTCAAACAAAATAACTTTTATCAAATATTGTTTGTATTTAATCCATTTTTACTGGTTTGAAAAAAAGGGAAAGTTTACTATTTCTGGACTTTAATTTACCAGTGACAATTCTTTACCACACCTAGACTTACTGATACCTACCTTGACCTCTACAAAGGAATATTTTAATGCAGTCTTAACAATTCATCCAATGACATTTCCTCCAAGCAGAATTAGTTTGTCCATTCCCATTAGGAAGCAACTCTACAAGGTTATGTGTCTACAGAATAGGCACAGCAATGTGTTAAAAGTGGCTAAAGTTGCCATCTCTCTCTTGTAAAATCTCAAAGCAGTCTGCAAAATATGCAATCCTTTAAATGAACAACTTCAAAAGCTTTATTCACAAGTGCAACTAAAAAAAGCTCTCAATAGACTGTTGGCTGTCCAGCAGCTAGACATAAAACCGTATTCAGGAATGTCTAGGGAGCTTATATAGTAAGTTTATAACTAAACTTATAAATAGAAGAGTGAGCTTCGGACATGCAATTCTATCCATAGTTAACATTTTGACTGTAATATCAGACTTACTTTATTAGATTTGCTTTAATTTTTTTTACAAAATATAATTGTAGGACTCTTTAAAAAAAGATCTATTGTCTACATGATTCAAATGTTCACACCTAGGTATGAAAATTATTTTCTATATATCTGTCATTCATCAAAAATAAAACAGGCATCCACTTTCTGAAAAAAACATGTTTAACCTCCCTGCTACTGCATGTGGAAGGAGATATAATCTAATTTGAAAACACGTTTTTCTCAACTTCTGTACTTTATTAAATTTTATCTGCTTAGCCTGTTTAATACAATATATTTCACTCAAGTTGTGTTCTTTGTTGAGAACAGAATCCCAAGGTAGGACCCGGCTTCTTACAATCTACAAGAATACCAGTTACCCACTATTGCCTAAGAAGTCAGTCCTTTAAACAAATGGTAATGGTTCTCTGCAAATGGTAATTTCTGACTTAAAAAAGCAAACAGTGGGATACAGAGATCTTTAAAAATGAATGGATATAAAAGATGAATAAAGAAAGCTATGGATGTTCAGAAAATCCAAGGGAGAAAATATGCCAATTAACTTAAGTAAGGCTTGACACCCTTCTGAATACATTGGAATATAACCCCGAGTATTAGTACGATGCATCGAAGCATAACATTTACGGAAGTTTACTTTGAAGATTTGTTCTGCTTAAAAGTTTTGTCATGAGCCTCTTCTGAGGTATATGTCTGATTGGATTTATGAGTTATAGCTGTTGGATTCAGAGAAGACTAAGGTGGTTTATGTGGTAATATAATACGTTGTTCTTGTAGAGTGAAAGATCCAAACCAGCACTATGGTTCCTTGGAGTCATTGACATATTTAGGTAAAAATATGACTTTCTCAACCAAATGAGCACTTTTCACACTGCCTTTCAGTTATTTGAATGACTAGAATATCCTGGTCCTCGATAGCCACTAGCGGTAAAACTAAAAGATCGAGTATTTTTTCCTCCCACCAGCCGCTTCTTGGTGTTTTGATGCCTTAAACCAATTCCAGATTCTTGTGCTCTGGTCCGTTCTAAAGATGGATCCTTTTGAAAGGCTTGGGCAACCCGGGCTGCTCTCAGCTCTCTACACAAAAATAAGACAATAGGATTAATAAACAATCCAGTGGATCATAATGAAATGAATGGAATCTTTCCCAAAATTAAGAATGCAGCTCAGTATGTTCGGTTTTCTTAATTCAATAGATGCTTCCTCATTCTGGAGTAAAATGATCTCTTACACTAGAACAGAGCTGCTGAATTCAAATTCCATATGTTTTCTTGTCATGGAGAGAGCCTTGCAATGGAGAATAGCTTGTGAAATAAATGCCAATTCATCCTGTATAACAAGGGCATAAAGTCATGATGCCATGAAAGACTTTGAGGGAATCATAAGACCTCTTAACTCTGCTTCTAAAAAATAATTGTATAGTAAAAGTATTACATTATTAACTATATTCAAACTTTAGCATTTAAATTCAATATATTTTTGTCCTGTTCTTGCCTGATTTGCTAGATAGCCATACTCTAATAAAAAAACAAACATGGACCTTTATCTGAAAAAGTGAGCTGCGCTAGCACAAACACTACACTTAATTTAAATTAATATTATTCCCTGTATGCAGTATTTTTTTCCTGTCTCATGTAAAATTAGAAAGATGGTTTGTCAATTTTTAAAAGGGCTGCTGAAGACACCTGACTTGGCATTCCTATATAACCAAATGGACTGCTACCATCTCCACCTTGTTTCATGCATATATGGTGTGAAAAAAGCACTTAAAAGGAGATACATAACAAGAACTCATGAAAAAATCAACAATAAACAACATCTATCTTTTCAAAACAATAGAACTTTAACCTTTCAAGAGAAATTTCCTCTGTGTAATATTTTGTTAAAGACTACAAAATCAGCATATTTATATTCTGTGATGGCTGAGAGCAGTGGTGGGATTCAAATATGTGAACAATCGGTTCTCTGTGTGGATGCCGCTTCCAGAAGTCCATTCTGGGCCTGGGCAACAAAAAATTAGCTACCAGTTCTGCCAAAGGGTTGCAAACCAGCTGAATCCCACCACTGGCTGAGAGGGATAAAGGGATCAGGGTATGAAATTCAAATACAGATGTAAGTAGCAGCTAGAGTAAGTTCTCCAAGAAAGGAGTTAGCTTCCAAGCCACTTTGTACACAACTGTACCATTTACACATCTTTCTTTGCTATTAGAAAGCACAGGACTTCACCTTTCCAGCATAGCAGTTTTGAATTTCTCCACATTGAGCTGTTCCTGAAGCTGGGCAGCCTTGCCAAGAGATGGTCGGAGGAGAGAGTGCTTGGTTAGTGCAGCAGCTGATGGCCTCACTACTGGGTCAGGATGAACCATAAGCTGATATTCCACAAAACAAAAGAGAAAGGTCTTTCACCACCAGATTTTCAATGCCAGCATTCTTCTTGGCTCCCCCAAAAGGACTCACCTTGAGCAGTTCTGTAAAGTCACATGACAGTTGCTGAGGGATACGTGGAAGGTTGCCTCTGCGGATGTGGTGCCACGGGGTGTCATTGGCAGGCAATGGAGCCGCACCTGCTGCCAGAGCAATAGTTAAGGCAAGAGCAAAGATGTCTGCCTTGGGCAGATAGCAATATTGCTATGGAGGAAATAAGAGAAAACCCATACACCCATGTCAGGTCACATTCAGTTAAGAAAATAATATTTTAAAAACAATAACGCATAGGTTTACATAAGTGGCATTCCCACAACATTCTATACATATTTCTAGAAATTACAGTATTTGCTGTGGACCAGAAGGTGCATAAGAAATGTTTTCTTTAAATATAAATCTGGTTACTAGGTTTTCATTGACATGAAATACAAAGGTCAAACACAATTAGCAAACATACTAGAATATGCCAATATTAGCTATAATTCTGAAATAGGCAACTCATTACCCTCTAGAAGTGTGGAGCTACAACTACATTAACCCTTATCAGAACTATAAATGATTAGGAATAGAAGAGTGTAACAGTGTTCTGTGTGCTTTTGGCATATAGTCATATTGGCCACATGACCAAGGAAGCATCTTCAGAAAACACTGGCTATAACTGTGAATCAGAAATAGGCAGCACTCTCTAGAGCAGGGGTCCTCAACCATGGCAACTTTAAGACTTGTGGACTTCAACTTCGAGAATTCCTCTAGAGTCAGACATGGCTGGCAGGGGGAACCTTTACTTTTTTACCACATCTGAACATCAATTGATTCCTGACCTAGGTTCAATGTATTCTCATTCCATGCTATTAATTTTAATTTTTTTATCTAAATGTACCCAGATAGATTTCTAATAGCTGCATTAAGCCAATACATTTGGACCTCTTAAGAATGTAATGCCTCAATTCTTGTCTGGGGACTTTTACTAAATTAAGATTAATGTATGAATCTGAGTATAATAAAAGGAATAACATTGGAAGGGTCAGGAGAAGTTTCTTCTGCTTTGAAGATTCCAGTGCAACCCTAAAGTGCTCTGAGTTTTACCTCTTGCAAGATTTCATTGGCCAAGAAGCGGCAATCTCCCTCCTCTACTTGTGGATTGGTTATGGACGTCACATGTCCAAGATCCCCTGCCAAAGGAATATTGTCAGCAACAGAAATCATTATATGCATTACTGATTTTCAAAGGTTTTATTTTTGGACTTGTCCACTATGTCTGTACTAGGAGCTATCTATATTCAAATATTTTGTGGCATATATTTTAATTGCAATTAAATAGTTATTAGAGGACCATGAACATGTCTGTCTTTTCTCAATCTGCTGTCTTCTAAATGTATTTGACTTCAGCTCTCCATACGATTTCACCCAGATTCTTTTCCTAAGAAAGACAGTGCCTAGAACATCACATTTGAAAGTGCAAGAAGAGCACTGCAGAGTCAGGACTGAGTTTGCATTCCAGCAGAAAATGCTTTTTTCTTAAACAAATATTGGATAGCTCAGCCACCTGGATCTTTTTCTATATAACATTATCCTTCTCTAAACCTCTTCTTATCACAGGCTATTTATGACTGAATGTACAATATATCTGAATACCTATTAACAGCGTACTATAGAATACATGCCAAAAATAGAACAATTATCACTCTGGCTATATTTTTTATTGTGGACAGTGACATTAACTAACAAATTTCAAACATTTCCAGATCACCAGTCTTTACATCTCCTGGCTCTTCTGATTCCAATATTAAATACAGCCAGGATTCAGTCAGGCAGCTTTAGTTGTTTACAGTTCTGTTTTCCTTCTCTTGTAATTTAGCTGGGCCTGCAATAGCCCAGGCAAAGAAGCAGAGGTGTCACTGATCGCACTTAACTAGCAATAATCTAGCTCAAACCCACTCACTTATAAATATGGTAGATTAGAAATGTGTAATGCAGCCTGCTCTGACATAGCAATGGATAAACATGCTATTGGCAAAGTGTATGTCGGAAATCATTTGACAGCAAGTGCTCCAAAAGAAACCAAGTTACACACCGATTTTATATACCACATTTGAAGTAGCAATATCATCATCTTCCCCATCACTCTCCTCTTGACCAGCAGACCCAGGTAGACTGCGGCATATAAAAATATTGCCTGCAATCAAGAAGAAATTGTGCTAGCCTGCAATATGCATTCAGATAACTTATATCAGTTACAGTCAATGTGGCTTACACATTATAAGCATCTGCACATCATAAAAGTGCCCATTAAGAAAAATACAGAAGTATGAACTCTGTTTGCTGTGAAAAACAATCTTGTCCCAGGTGGCAAGATAAGCGAAAGGATGTGAGCAGAAAGATAGAATATATATATTACCATACATACAATAGACCTCCAAATATTCTATTAGTCTTTACAGCAAGGTACTAAGTGATTTTTAAAAATAAACTACCGTTGGATGGTTTATACAGCACATTTGGTACACCAAATTACCGTTGGGTGGTTTATACAGCATCAACCAATTACATTACTGCATAATATTTTTAAACCCATGGCAGAAAGAAACAAGGTCTATTAAGGATCATACAACTTGAATCATAATCAATGATTTATGGGTGAACTTTAGTTGAGAATCTGTAGTGACCTTTCAGAGCTCTGTTCCAGAATGCTTATAATTCCAAATAAATATGAGAGGAAGTTTCAAAACCTTAAGTGTTAATGACCACATGCTAATTGCGCCATCAAGTCTGAATTTGGCCTAGTCACTCTAAGCAAAATCTATACCTCAGAGTTGTTGAAAAAACTGGAGAAGGAAAAATTCTATATATCACCACGAGGTTCTGAAGCAAAGATGGACTAAAAATCTAATCACTCTAATGATCTAATTACTTTAATGAATAAAGCATTACTGACCAAACACACTTACTGGGTTTGATATCCATATGAACCAGGCCAGAAGTGTGAATGTATTTCAGTCCCATGGAGACTTGCAATAAAATTTCCTTCAGCTCAGATTCTTTGAAATAATCTGCTGTCTTTGAATTTTCCAAAAGCACATCCTGAAGGCTCCCACCTATGGAAAACCAAGCATTCATTCCATTCCATTTCATTTCAATTCAATGTCTATAGCCACCCATCTCAGTCAATGACTCTGAGCAGGTTACAATTCAAAAATATATTACAATTAAATACTTAGTAACATAATAAAAACAATAAAATATTCATACATAGCAAAGTTATTCTGTGTGCTATCTGATGCACATAGATCCCTGAATCACTTGTCTGGAGGCCCTTTCACACAAATATTATTACCAGTTTCCATATCCTCAGGACTGTTTGTTGCAAATCCTGCAGTTATACTTGCTGTTGGGATAACAGCCAGAGATGACCCACACCCTTTCTACCTAATGAAAAAAGAAGTGCAGATGACATCTATTCCTCCTTGCCCCACATTTATCTTCTTGTCTAGTGCTGCCACATTCAGTTACAAGATGAACAAGAGAAAGAAACCAATATGCTTGCACAAAGTTTACTGCAAGGGCACCGTGGCACTCAGGAGGGAGGGAAATCATGGAGCTCCCACAAATGGGAAAACTGCCTAACCCAAAGTCCTGAAGAATTTAAGCAGTTAAAATTACAAAACAGGAGATTTTGTAAAATCCCAGTTTGGGATTTTGAGCATTGAGCCAGAAGAAAATTAGCTTGGATTTGGTTCCAAAATTCTATATTAAAGTACCCATGAGATATGAAGATTTAACCAGCTTCTCTAAATTTGATTCTTCTTTATTTCTGATGCTTGTCTAGGACAAAAACTGACTTGAATTTTGGAAACCGAAGTCCAACAAGTACAAAATGCACCAGGTTGGGAAAGGGTGAATAATGAAGAAAGCTGATGTGAAAACTTCATGAAAAGCCACCACATTTGCTATTCTTATCAGGTTTCCAATAAAGATTTGGTAGGATACTGCCCAAACCGGTTTGAATTTACAATTAAGCTATGATGTTAGAAAATGGTTTCAGGTAATTACCACAGAAAAGCAATTTGTTCTAATTAGAGAGAACCAATATTCATAATTTACAGGCTTAGAATAGCAGTATACTAACCAGGTTTCTTAAACCAAAGTCATCTGCATATAAGTTGCAGGAAAATCCAGCTGATGGCCAAGCCATCAAAGCCACAGTACCTTGATACATGCTGCAGCTTGAATGAAGGAATGATGCTGAACTGATTCTCAGCTGGAGCACTTTAAAAGAACTAGGAATTCAGAAGCACATCTATTTTCTCCCATACCTTCTCTTATTACAATTCTTGATACCTGAACTCATTAGTACTAGACTTTTAAAGTTCACAGATATTAAACATAATTAATTGTTACAGCCTCTCTCAACCTGAAATCCTTTGCCCCATTACAAAGTAGTAAACTATAAGCCCCATAATTTACAACTAGCATGGAAGTCTGGTGCAAGATATATATCATGTTATCCATAAGGCTGCATTGCATGAAAGAATTCATAATGTTTCCTGAATTTGGCACTGTGAAGCAAAAATCTTCAGAGGGACCCATTTCCTTACCATTGCAGTGCTCATTCTGTATGATCATGTGATCATCTTCTGCCCAAGCAGAGTAGTAACGGACAACATGGGGATGATGACCAAGTACTGCATGTGCATAGACTTCCCGCAAAGCCATCTGCCTGCAGGCAGACACAGAAAAAAGAGAGCCACAATTCCAGCTAGGATACTGTTATGAGGTTAGGATTTTGACAGGAAAGGGTTTCAGAAGTTGTTCTGGAGATACCTTAGATTGGTTCCCACAGCAGACTACACTAGCAGCTGAGTTCAGTCAATTCACTAAGCAAATCACTTTGCTTACTGCAACACAGGAATCCAGTTTACAGAAACATCTGTGGAGATTTTCAGTCACCCAGGTCATGGTTGTCCCAAAGGTGCTTTTCCAAAAGGCAACTGGATTTCTAGTTTTTTCTTTGAAAATGTTTCACTTCTATCCAAAAAGGTTCTTCAATTCTAGTGAGAACTCTAGTTAGAACTGAAGAAGCTTCTTGGAAGAGAAGTGAAATGTTTTCAAAGAACCCCCCCCCCCCAAGAAAGTCCAGTTGTCTTTTGGAAAAGCACCTTTGGGACAATTACAGAGACAAAAAGCTGGATCTGGACTCCATAACTTAATAACAACTTGTGAAGTGTTATTATCTAAAACTCTAATGTCATTGGGAATGTTGATTTTTGACCATATGGTCAAAAGTAATTTTGACCATATGGTCAAAAGTAATTTTGACCATATTTTGACCAATGAGCATTGTATGCTGCTCAGTCAGTTTATCTGTAAATAAACTTCAGTATTTCATGTTGCCATAAAATTCTAGGTACTTCCTTTCAAGTGAAAGAAAGCTTGGCTAGATGAAATATTTAAAAAATGGGTAATTTTTACAGCATTGAACATAGATTGAAGTGCCCAACCTGTCAGCTCACAAGATAGAACAGGTTTTACACAGCACACTGATAGGATTAGGGTTAATCTCCAACAGTGAGTGGAGATTAATTATTCTGGAGATTTCAGGAATTTTAAGGAATAAATGGATGTCTCAGAGCTTTCACTTTTGATTTTAATCTACCACCCCACATTTAAAAATATGTAAAGTTGGGAGCAAAGTATTTGCCCGTATTTACTCTTTAAAAGATGTGTGGCCATATACTTTTGTATCAATGGACCAAAGAAAAGCTATTTTGAAGAACAAGATGAAAAATATGTTTATAAACGTTTGATGGCTTTTAAAAAAGTGTCCTAATTTGTTTAATGTCACCTTTTTTTCAAGGCCCAGTTATAGCAAACAGCAACATACAGCTGACTTTGGAAAAAGCTAAACAGTCCAGTTTATACTTGAATGGGACCCAGTGGTGCGATTCAAATATGTGAACAACCGGATGTCTGTGTGGATGCTGCTTCCAAAAGTCCATTGTGGACCTGGGCAACAAAAAATTAGCTACCGGTTCTGCCAAAGTGGTGCGAACTGGCTGAATCCCACCACTGATGGGACCCCTCCAGAGTTTCCAGGACTATAGAAAAAACTAAGAATTTTTAAAAAATATCACAGAAGGCTAGGGCAAAACCATATCAATAGGTTATCAAGAAAACAATATGGATGGATTCAAGAATTAAGCTCAATGCAAGAAAGACATTTTCAAAACCTAGCTAAATGATACTGATCTGTATACTGTCAAGAAAACATAATAGAAGATGTACTATTTAGTTTCAGAAATTCAGAAGTAAATGTTGTCTGGAAGACATGGTTTTAATCTATCATTGGAGGAGGAAGGGTGGCATGTACAGAGATATTTATAATTTTACACTGTACACTTACTCATCTGAGGACCCAGCAAGGGGTTTCTTTGAGCGTTTGATGGCATAGACACAACCATCCAGTCTTTTGATGCACTTATAAACAGAACCAAATTCCCCCACACCAATCTTCTCCAGCTCAAGGAATTCCTTTTTGTAGCGGGAAACCATGTTGCTCTCACGCAAGAGGAATCTCTAAGGATAGATGAGAAGGATAAATAAGGCTGCCCTGCTCACCAAAGAACAAGGAGAGCTTGTTGATCTCCTGTAATACAAAATCTTACTTCAGGCTCCTGTATAGTCACTGCCATTATTTACCCAAACCTTTCCAAATTTTATAGTTTCTAGATATAGAGGACTATGCTCCATCCTCAACCTTCTTTAAGTGTAGTTTTTTGGACAGTTACAGTTACCTGAGCTTATACAATATATAAAGTAACAATCCATAATTTTCAAACCATAGTAACTAGGTTCCAGAGCTTCTAGCCTGGAAACAGTAGCAATACCATGGAGCATACAGCCATGGAAAGCATTTTATGGCAGTCCAGTTGTTTGTGAATTAAAATATCAAGCATCCCTAGGAAACATGGCTAAGGAGGGGATGCAGGGAGTTGTACTTCACTATCTAGACCCCTAGTCACAGTCAAATTCTTGTAACTATTTTCTATTTCCCATCATTATACTCTGACTAGGATTACTTCAGCATCAAAGCAATCTCTTTTCTACTCCTTTTCTCCAGTCTTGATTTCTTTAACAAGTTTGCTTGAATAAGAAATCCAGAGATCTTCAACCCCTGCATATTTCTGATGATATTTTTGGGGTGGTTTGTTGAAAATACTGTTCTTAAATGAATAAGATTCATTTAAGGGTTCACCTTAACCCTTTCATTTTATTTCTCAATACCAAAGGGAGAAAAGATGCTAAAGAAGACCAAAGAGTATATTTTAGAATCAGCCTGGTTTTCCACCAGAAGAGGGCAATGCTGCTTTATCCCTTCTACATTTCAAGTAGGAAACAAAAATCCACCTTGTAAATCCTAATAATTTTGCTGTGACTCAAGGGGAAGAGAGGATAATAGGATATTTGAGAAGGAGGACACAACAGCAGAAGGTATTTACTGCTCAGTAAAACTGTTTTTCTCTTCCCCACACCATAATACTCTTTAAGGAGCTTTCTCTTCATTAGGTTTTCAATTAGAGACTTTTAATTGCCTAATTTATCCTGCAGTAATTAATAGTCATTTGTAACAATGGTAAGAAAAGAATTCAGGGTTCAATAAACTAGTTTACTTCCCAATTTCCAAAATCTCTTCTCCTTAACAGGCCATAGTTTTCCATATTTACAGATTGGAGATAATGTTTATTTCATTTTAGAAGCTGCTTGGAAGACTAATTAAAATATGAAACACGTGTTTAATTGATTTAATAAAAGTGTAGCATAATCAAATAAGGAATAGTTTTTGTAATTGGGATTTTCTTAGCCTTCAGAATATTATTTTCAGTTATATTAAAATTGTACATATATTTTGGTTTCAAATTGTGTTCCTCTTAAATGGAAGCAACCCTAAACATTTAGAGAAAATAACTCTACCATTAGCACTAAAGTGTGATATGGATATTAGAACAGTGTCCTTATCACACCTGAAGGCAGGTGATGAATTCACAGTACCTGGAACATTTTTACCCTCCAATTTAGCAGAAGTGCAGATAGCTCCTATACAATGACCATCTGCCACTTGAAATAATTGCCTCATTTCAATAGTTGGGCAATCTCTCAGACTGAAGTCTACAGGTGTTGCATATCATAGTGTATGGATATGCAATGCTCTGGATCTGACTCTAACAAGGTGCAATACAGTGATGTGGTACCTCCTTAAATCAGTTATATCTTTTCCCAGAACCATAGGGAGCCATAGGATTTCTACAGCCATTACAAAGACAAACACATTGCACTACTGCCTTCTTCGTTTCTTTCTTCTTTTCTTCCTAAATTAAAGTGTAGATTTTTCTTTGAAAATGTGTTCCAAATCATGGCTTCTCTATTGTTCAGGGGTAGTGCAGATATTTTCTTGCAAGCAAATTAAGTAAAATTGGGTGGTATTACTCACTGGAGAAGAACCTAATGCTGGGAAAGATTGAGAGCAATAGAAGAATGGGACGATAGAGAATGAGGTGGCTGAATGGAGTCACTGAAACAGTAGGCGTGAGTTTAAATGGACTCCAGAAGATGGTAGAGGACAGGAAGGCCTGGAGGAACGTTGTCCATGGGGTCGCGATGGGTCAGACATGACTTTGAAACTAACAACACTTATTACTCACCTTGGCAGGCATTCCCAGCTCCATTGGTCCATCTGTTTGGTTGGGATCCTCTCTAAAATGGTAAGTTTAATCACATGTGTTAGTTTCGTATTCCAATGATATAGGCGTGAACCTTCTAAATATTTCAATATTAGTAGTTTCTATGGGTATCATATCTGTGAATTGCTGTGAATCCAAATAGCTGGTATGTGGTAACAAAGAGTTTTCAATAATTTTCTACCATATAATTATCATTAGATTTATTTTGCAGCCAAGCTCCGGTAGCACTATTATTTTGGAGATATGCTCAGGCTCTACGAAGGAGTTATATAGATACTTCTATAGATCAACATTCAAAGAACTGAAAATCATTCATTCTAGAACCCTAGCAGATGCACCTCTGAATTTGGGAGATGTTATTAATTTATATTTTTCATAAAGGAACACTTTCCTATTATATTGAAGTTATGAGCCTAAATAAAATAATAAAATAAAATAATATGGGGAATGACAGTATGCTATTCTAAGCTGCCTTGGAAGGAAATCTGTCTCCAGCTATGGCAGGTTAGCAAGATCAGGTCAGACGTCTTTTTTGTTCAGTGTCTGTAGATGTATGGTAACTCCTGCAGTGAACAGGGGAACACACCGTAACAAACATTTAATAATGAGAGTCACTGTTGTGGTATTCAGTGAGGACTCAAACTTTTCTTTCTATACTAGGCCAACAAACAACAAATGGATCTACAATACAGGCTTAAATCAATTTTACACCCGATTTTTAGACAACCTGGGAATTACAATTCTGCAAAAAGATCTATTTAATATCTATATGAAGCTGCTGGGTAAGGTCAATCCCAGCATGGGGTTTAGTATCATCAGAGTATGAATGATACTCAGTTATACATTTCTACTCCATGCCAAGCAATTGATGCTATTCAAGAGCTTGCTTGGTGCCTGGAGATGTAAGGGTCGGGATAAGAAGAAAGTGGCTGTGATTGAACCTTAGCAAGAAGGAATTGTTGTGAGTGTTTGCCCCTTACCCCCCCCCCCCTTATATCACTCCCCCAAGAGGTAGCAATTTTGGGGTTTTTCAAGAGTCATAACTCCTTCTGAAAGAGCAAGTGCCAACGATGGCCAGGGACGCATAAATTCTTCTTATGCACTAATTACATCCAAACAGGGTGGACTTGTTGATGATCATGCATGATTTATAAATTCCCAGTTGGATTGATGCAATACATAGGGCTGGCCTTGAAGATCACCCAGAAAACAACTACTCCAGAATGCAGCAGTGCATGCAGTTTTGGACACTCCATAGTTTGCCCAAATTAGACTGTTGTTGCATGAGCTGTACTGGTTCCCATTTGTTTTCCAGGTGCAGTTCAAGATGCTGATTATTTAAAGCCCTACATAATACAGTGCCAGATCTCTTCCCTTAAATATTGTCATCTCATGGGACTGTGGAGGGGTGTCTTCTCTGCAGCCCTAGTCTTTGGAATAGCCTCCCACTCAAAGAGCCCCTACTCTTTTAGCCTTCCAGAAGGCTATGACGATCTGGTTATTCCTACAAGCATTGGGCTACGATAGGGCTTAGTCAGGCAGTTAATAGTTTGGTTGCTTAGTGGGAAGGATTGTCCTGTTATTCTATTATTTTTATTGTTTATTATGAACCATTGAGGATCACTACCACACAAGTTCATAAAATGAAATAAAATATGTGCAATAGAAAATTCCCTTTCTTTGGGAAATCATGACTGTTTATACAATGCGATTAACTTGGATAAATTGCTATGGTACTGGCCTAGAAATCAGGAGATGATGAGTTCTAGTCCCACGTTAAGTATAAAAGCTGGCTGGTTACCTTGAGCCAGTCCCTCCCTCTCACTTCAGAGAGTTGTTGTTGTGGGGAAAATAGGAAGGAGTATTGTGTGTGTTTGCCACCTTGAGTTATTTGTAATAGCAATAGCACTTAGACCAGTGGTTCTCAACCTTTTTAATGCCGCGACCCCCAACCGGTTGTAAGTCGAGGACTACTCAACTGGTCGTAAGTTGAGGACTACTCAACTGGTGCAGCACCGTTTGCAGAATGGGACTTTTGGCGGGCTCAGCAGGGCAGAGACAGCCTGGACAATTCCTATTGGCTTTTGAAAGCCAATAGAATTGGACTCTATTCAAGAGAGTCTATTCTATTGGCTTTCAAAAGCCAAGAGAATAAAAGGGAGTAGCACAGCCAAGGAAAAGGGGGAAAAAATGGCGGATTGCATTGTCTGGCGACCCCCGTGAAATGGTCGTTCGACCCCAAATTGGGTCCCGACCCACAGGTTGAGAACCACTGACTTAGACTTATATACTGTTCCACAGTGATTTACAGCACTCTCTAGGTAGTTTACAGACTCAGCATATTGCACCCAACAATCTGAGTCCTCATTTTACTGACCTCAGAAGGATAGAAGGCTGAGTCAACCTTAAGCAGATCAGGATTGAACTCCTGGCAGTGGGCAAAGTTTGCCTGCAATATTGCATTCTAACCACTGCACTACCACTAGCACCAATAATAAAGGCAGGATATAAATAAATAAATAAATAAATAAATAAATAAATAAATAAATAAATAAATAAATATAACAAAATGATACCATTGTTTGCTTTCCTCTTACCATATTCCTGAGGCTAATTGTAAAATGAATATGGATGTGTGTGTAATTTAGTTTTATTTAATAGTAAAATATAAATATGGTTCCCCCACTCCCCAATCCCATCCTAATTCCCAGGTGGTTTGGCAATTTAGCTTTGAAGTTTAGGCCAAAGGTTTCCAATAAATGTATATAGACATTCTTAACGGGAAGCTTTTGCTGATTCACACAATTCTTTCTGACATATAGCGAAAACAACTATTTCAATTAAGGTGATGGCATTGAGAACTTTCTATCTTCAGAGAATTTTGCCTCGGTGATTTATCCTCTGACATCTTGTAGAATCATATTAAATGGGGGACTTATAGACCAATCATCCTACTGCATAAATGAAAGATAAATTCAAAGTGAAAATATTAGATTGCTGTCTAGCCTTCTCTGAAAGACATATACACTTTATGTTACACTGGTTAACCCTTCTGGGCCTCTTCATAAACTACAGCAATATTTTTGGAAATATCCTGTCTCTTGCAGAGTATGTTTTGGGGGCAGGAACAGAAACAGTAAGCAAATTGTTCTGAAAAGCATGTCCATCATTTCTATTCATCTTGTTGATGAGTCCAACAGGCTGCTGAGAATATTTATTTCTTGAAACAGATTTTGAAAGCCAGTGGATCACTAATGCTCTTGAATACTAAAATAATATTCTTCAAGCAGCTGGATGTTACACAGTGGGAATCGGGACCTGCTCTCTATCTTATTCATCAAGAAAATAGAATAGTTTTCTGTGTTATAGGAAGGCAGATTCCAGATGAACATTAGGAAAAATTACCGAATAGTAAGAATAGTTCAACAGAGGGGAGCTGCGATGTTTTGATTGTGTTGAATATATCTAACCAGAAACTAGACAACTATGTCTCATGGATGCTTCCATTTGGATTTCTCTTTGGATCAGTAAGTTACATTAATCAATCTAAATTCTAACCTTATGAGTCTACAGAGATGACTACCTGATCATCTTATTTTGCATCCTTTGAGAAATATCTTAGGAAGAAAACACTCACGACTCCCCTCTGGCTTTCCTCTTGCCACTGGGATGGAAGACCATCTGTCGATACGATTCAGGTGTAAATGGATTAATATTAACCAAAGAAGCTGGAGGAGCCTCCTCTGGGTCAGGACAGGAAGTGAATCTCAAGTTCCTCATCCCTTTGGAGGGAAGTTTTCCCACAGGTGAAGGGAAAGCTGTCTTACTTAAGAGACTCTAGAGCAAAATGCAAACAAATAAAATGGGAAAACCTCTTTAGCATGAGGATTTTACAACTGCTTAAGATCTAATATTCCCAATATCAAAATACATTATGCAGGCTTTTACTGTATTTCAGAATTGTTGCATGCTCCACACACCTTTTTACTAAACCAGTTCAAATTTGATCTAATGCACTCAGATGGTCTTGTGAGACTCACATTGGGGGGAAAACCCAACATCTATCCACTCTGAATCCACCTTGCAGAAAGCAAAGATTTCCCTCTTCACTTTGCAAAGAATGAAGAATGTTTTTTTTAAAAAAAACTGTAGTAGCATGCCATCTTCCAAGGAGTCCAGTAATGCCTTCCTACATTCACCCCTAACTGGCTCATTCCAGCAAGGACTTTGTCACTTGATTCTGCTTAATCAAGGACATTGGCTGGAATCAAGGATATTTCCATACAGAAGGGCTGCCCAGATCAAAGACCAACACTATCCTTTCACATCCCTACACGTTTGGGGGCTTCCAATGGCCATTGCAATGACATTTCCCCACAGTTCTATGATTATTTCCCTTGTCATTTTGGGTAAGTACAGCTATTGGAACAAGCAAGAGATAAGATTAGCTGCAATTTTTAGCACTCTTCTATCAAAGGAGATAATTATAGAATAGTTTTAGGGAACTGCTCATAAAGGGATAGACTATTAGTCCATCAGTCAGTATTGGTTATATTGAGATCTCAATCTGGAATCTTTCCCAGCAATGCACGGCTGAAACTCATCCAATCTCTGAATTAAGCTTTGAGCCGTTCTGAAAGGCTCTTCTTTATTTGCAGCCTGAAAACCAGAGGTCAGCTATGAACCTCAGTTTCCTGTTAAGCTGTTCTTTGTCAGTTATACAGTTTTAGAAATCAAGGAAAGAAGAATGTCTAATTGCTTATCTTTGTTATTTTGTCAGTAAGTTATTTCTGACAGCAAAGCCTCAATCAGTGCTCTAGATGTTCATGCAGTCTTTAGACATCCATCCAAATTAGCAGAAAGACAGAATGTGGAATGTTCAGATAGTTCCATTTCAAATTTTAAGAAAGCAAAATAGAATTAAATAATGCACCAGGATCATACTCTACATCCTGCTGGGAGTCTACATCTAAGCCTATATGACAAAAAGTCAGGAGATGCTTTGAAGTATAGTTCTATCTGCAGTGCTGCATTGAGTCATCTTGTTAAAAAATCAAGAACAAAGGTGAACATATTCTCTTGATCCCTAGCTATTCATCCAGAAAAATGTAGGCATTGCTTTCATGAGGATAGGTAGAATGGAGCTCCCAAAACGCATTGGTATCTAGCCCAGCATCACCTCTGAAGCAGATGTACATTTTTATCTTCCCTTTTCACTGTGGAACAGAGGAACCTTCTCTTCCCTGTTATTCATTTTATCTTCACAGTAATCCTGTGCAAATGATCCAAACAAGTGATAGTGACCAGCCCCATGATTGTGAGAGCAGAAATCCAACCCATCCAGTTGTTGGAGGCTTACAATCCAAATGTACTGCCACATTTTACAATTCCCAAAGAATAAGCAAGGGGTAAATTATGTTTGTTTAGCATAACTTGAATGCTGCTCATTACTATGCATATATGTTATGCAGTAGAGTCTAATAAAACAATGTTCATGCTCGGATGGATATAATACATAATTTAATTAAAATCTCAAAATGTGCCTTTCGGTGCTCTTCAAGTAACAAGCTTAGATTCATCTTCTGAAGCTTATTATTATGTCTGGGCACACTGTTTGGGATTCACCCAAAGAATTCAAAGCTGAACACTAATGGAGGAATATGTAGCCTCTGCCTCTCCTCTAAGGAAGGAGAGAGCTGACATGACCAATTTCACTTAAAACAGCATATATGTTTTATGGACCATAAATCCAGAAGCAATTAGCAATATTAAGTTTCAAGCATGATGAAAGACTGAAGATCAAGAATATGCTCTTACAGTAGTTGGCTTGGATACTCTTGGAAGAACAGTTTGTGAATTATTATTGTCATCATCACCATACCTTTGGAGTATTCGGGGTATCACAGAGTTGCAGCTTCTGCCAAGTAACATAATGCAAAGGAGTTCCAGGATAATCTTCCAAAGGGACAGTTTTCTTTCGCAAAGATCCCCTACATCCCCTGATAGGATTCACCCAAGAACCTGGGCGTGCCGGAGAGCAATCATTCAATTGTCTCTGAGGGGTCACTGGGAAAGGAGAATTCGTTCTCCAGTTCTGAAACTCACAATTTTTCTGTGGAGTGACATGCTTCGTATCTTCCACTCTTAAGCTAATATCCTCTTCCAACTCACTGTCTTCTCCACATCTGGAAAAATCCAGCCTCTGTATGAGTTTGTTACTGCTGCTCCAATCATCCATTGCAGCTGAAAAAGACAGGAAGACATATCACGCTAAGACATAATTTAATTAGTGTGCTGATTATGGCTTAGAGAGGCTTATCATGGCTCACATATAGTGCTAACAGAGAAGTGCAACAGATACGCCCAGTCAAAATCATAGTCTGGATTCAGACATCAAATTATGCTTTGCTTAACTATGATTCAATTAAACTCTAAGCAACTGGATTTAAACAAAATGGCTCACAGATTTCAAAGTTAGATTCACAAACCACCTTAAGATTTAACATGCATGAATTCAGCCAGAAAGTATTTCACAAAAGACATGAACTCTATATAGTAACTATCACAATCCTGAAATCAGATATGCCAAGTTTGCATCCTAGATGATGAGTTTGTTTCTTCAAATCAAGCTCAATTCTTTAAAAAGCTTTTAGTTTCTTCTTCAAGGACTTGGTTAGCCTTTATAATAAACTGTCTTGATTTGTTCCTAATCAGATAACTACTGCTAGCTGTTCAGAGGCAAGCTTTACATACAGAGCACCATTTTGAAAAGGCCCTTATTTTATATCCAGATTCAAATGAACGCTATCTGGTATGGTAAATAGCCTTTTAAAAAAGGACAGGCCGCTATTTTTCAGTGAAATCATGGCACAATATTCTATTAAACTAACATGCTGTGTAGACTAAAAAGGAAATAACCCCATTCAGTAAGTACACTTCAGCACATTTTCAGGTAAGCGTGACTGGGATAAGGTATGCACTCATTTGAGGCAAACACTTGTCATACAAGGTTTAAGTCATCCAGCTGATATATAAGTAAATTAAAGAAAGGTTGGACATAATGTCTTTACTATGTAGTCTCCCAGTCAAGAGAAGAAAAGGTTTCTGTAGATACAAAAACATTGAACCAGGTAGCAAATATTGCCTTACTCCCAACCCTTTTATGACAGAAAAACTTATTCACTACCCCAACAGCAATTGCAGCAACTCAACTGGTACTGAAGTTAAAAGCACAGTAGCATCTATTCAAAATTATCCTTGAATTTCCTGTTAAAACCACTCATTGGGCCTTATGGATTATGCTGGAGGAGTTTACAAACATCACTTCCTGCATATCCTGTGTTCTCTAAAGTAATTCTGTAAAAACTTTCATTGCTCTTTAAGTCATTCAGAATTAAACAATATTGCAAGATGAGTTGATGGACCTTAAGCAAAGGCAAGATAAGGATGCCTTTAAACAAAATCACAAATCACTGAACTGTAGCTCTGGGGAAGGGAATCTTACAGTTTGGAAGTAGTTTGCCGTTGCTTGCTTCCAAAATATCTTTTGCTATTCACCCACTGTACAGCTCAATAATTTTCTGGTCTCTGATCTGATTCTAACTAGGTTCATCTCTGCTTAGGTTTTTGAGATAAACCCAAGTCAGCTACATCCTTCTATATCCTAGCAAGTGATTCAGCTTCTGGAACATTCAGGTAAAATTTGGGAAAGATTCCCATGTTGGGAAACATGAAAACTATTGCTATTAATAGACCCAATATATGCTAGAGATCAGAGTTTTGCAAACTTCGCAGCTTGAAGATATGTAGACTTTAACACCCAGGATTCCTCAGTCAGCATGCTGGTGGAAAATTCTAGGAGTTGAAGTCCACACAACTTCAAGTCACCAAGTTTGAAATACAGTGCCTTGGGCCAGTCACTCACTCTCAGCTCACCTCACCTCACCGGGTTGCTATTGTGAGGGCAAAAGGAGACAAATGCGTGTTGGATATGTTCACCTCCTTGAGTTGTTTGTAAAATTATTAAAGTCATGGTGCAAATAAATGTACTTAGTGCATATAGGATTTAATGTCTGATCGCACTGAACATCTAGGCAATAAATTGGAATTATATCCAAGCAGACATCAGCAAACAGTATCTTATCTAATATAGTTTGGGATTTGTGGCCTTCCTATTTAATCACCTGATTAAATAGACTCAAAAGACCCTAGTATGTTATTGATATGCAATTATTTTTCCTGTTTGTAGTTGTTTTTCTATCTTACATGGGTATTGTGTGTGAGCTGTTTTAATATACAGGGATATTCATGGTGGTATTATTCATATGCATCACCAGAATCATTTTGAATGAGGTGGCATATGACACAGGACTGTCAAATATATTACATAAGTAGTTGCATGATAAGGAGGCCGGTAATCCTTAAAGCCTCTGCTCACTATGTTACAACCATAATTTGGTTTTAGTGTATTGTGTGGAACTCAGTCATAATGGTTTGTAACGCATGATTTATAATTTGAAATATCTGTGTGAACCCAAGCTGGTGAAGAGGTCGTTCAATAAACCATGCTTAAGCCCATCCTGAGTTAGGATAAGGATGAGCCAGCCAACTGATTACATTTTGGTTCATTTAGTACAATTTAGACTGCTTTTTCACCATGTTCAGGTGCCTTGTCAAGCTTGCTTAATTTGAATTTTGGTAAATACTTTTTGTGGCTGATGTTGTGAAACCCGAGGCTGTGTGGTTAGTTTAACGTTATTGTGTAAACCCCACGATTTAATCACGTTTAAAGATGCTGTGCCAAAGTGCCCAGCAAGTGGGTCCCTGACCGTGTCAGCGATGGATTTGATTAAAAAAAAAAAAAATCTCCTTGGAGTACGTTGCAAAACTCTGCATGAAGATCCCATCGGCCCCATCTAGTGGTCGTCGGAAACTTTGCAATCCAGATCTGGGTCTCCAGTCCGAGGAAATGCATATCCAAGATATAAATAGTCAGATATTACATTTCCCTGATTTCATGAATACACCCCTGCACGTTTTTAAAACGATGATCTTAGCGGATAATAGACCTTACAGGGAATTGTTCTGAATTTCAATGCTACTCAGCAGATTGTCAGCTTTAAATTCTGTTGGCGGTGGTTGTTTTTAGCTGAAGTGAGGTTTACTTCTGGCTGAAGCTCGAGTAGGAGCTTGCTTTCCAGCCCTGCAATCCTCCTATGCGCTTTTTCTGTTCGAGAGCCGGCTCCAGTCCGACGGAGGCGGGAGGATTGCCTTCCCAATAAGCCATGCAGAAGCTCGGACTTCATCTTCCAGATTCGCCCAGGCTTGCATCCGCGCGCACAAAGGATCGGAGCGCCGGGAATCATTTTCCAAGCTTGGCCTGTGGATTTCTCCTTCGCGGCTCCGCCGGGGGGAACCCAGCCAGGCAGCCGGTGACGGGGGAGGCGGAGATCGGGCGATCGCGGAGGCTGCTCAAGCGCCGCCCTTCACCTCCGCGCGCCGCAGCTGGCCGGCCATGGTGGAGCAAGCCGACGACGCGCCGCTCCTTTTCTGGGCCGAGGGCCCAGCCGTTTCCTTGCCGGAGCCCGGGGAGCCCGGCAGGTGGGGGGGCTGCCGCTCCTCCTCCCCTTCCTCCTCGACGTGGAGGAGCGGCGGCAAGGGGAAGCCGGGTCTGACCGGTCTGGGGAGGCGACTCCAGGAGCAAGAACCGGGGCAGGTAGAGGAAGACCAGATCGTGGCAGTGTTTGTGGTCACTTTTGACTCCCGCACGGGTAAGCCGGGGCAGCGTTCCACCAAGCTGGGGATGGGAAGTTGGATCTCCCTTCGTGGGGAGGGGGAGGACGAGGGATCCCATCAGTCCAATTCTGCACCCAGAATTGTAGTTAAAGGATGGCTTGTCTTTACAGCAGCAGACTCTCTGGCAGCATTTTCCTAAGAGACAGGAATTTGCACCAGAGTCCTTTCTGTTGGAGTTCAGATATCCAGGTCTCCAAAACCGAGTCTTTCTGACCATGTCCAGAGTGCGGCTCTGTATTCCTCCGTATTAAGTTTTTTCTTTTTGAGCCTGGGGATTGATGTGCATAGACTATCTTTGATTTTTTTTTTCAGAGGATGAGAAACCATGGGTGTCCCCAGCTTCTTCCTGGGTACCTAGAATTGAAAACACATTTGGTGCATATACATTTCTAGCTTCTATGCCTGGAGGGAAATCCTTTGGGTAGATGGCTTCTTTGCTGAATGGTTTTAGATCTGCTTGCACAAAGAGAGAATTCTTCCTTATTTTGTATGCATTAGCTGTTGAAACCCAGGACTTTCTCAACTTGTTCAGTTCACCAGAAGTTGCTTTCAGATCAAAATTATATGATTGTTCCCTACACATGGCCCACACGTTGGCGAGATAAAGTGTCTTGTTTTGGATATGACGTAAAACACACAATTCTAGGCCTCATGTGTTCCATCCTCCTTATTCCTTCTTTTTTCCCCCTTAACACTTCACTGTTTTTAGAAGGGGGGAGGTTATCCAGGAATGAGTAGATGCTGGGCCTGTCCAGTCTGTTTGGGTTTTAATCTTCAGATCCATCAGCAGATGCAGGCCAATGGATGTGAACATAGATGTGGACACAGAATAGGGTATTTGTGTTCAGATGCTATTACTGCTATGGGAGAGGGATAGCTTGACCTTCCCTGTACATTTATCCATATTCTGTCACCTTCAAGTGAAGAGGGCAATTGAAGATGCTTCTTGAGAATCTCTGGAGGTTTCCACACAATGCAGAACCTAGGAAAATCATGTAGATATGTTCCAAGCCTAAGAATTTGTTTTCTGAAGAGCTGTGGACTTTGGTTTGCTTGTGGTTTCATCCATACCCTTTTTTCCTTTTTTACACAGCTTCATGGGGTGGGGTGGGAACATTAAGTGGCAGCCAGTGATAAAACATTGGGAGTCAATCTTCTGGAAATAACTAACATCTCATCATAATTCCTGATCTCTCTCTCTATCCATGCAATAGGATAAATATTGTACAATAGCACATGTGTACAAAGTCTTGTTGCTTTCCATCCCCCCAGTTTTAGGAACTCTGTTCATATTAAAAAATACGTTATTTACAGAAAGAAAACAGGCCCCTTTTCCAATATTTTCCCCTTCAGCTTCTGTAATAGTCAGATGATGCAAACAGTGATTTCTGCCCTATTTTTGCTGAACAAGTCAAGAACTATATAATAAAAACCATCCCTGGTTTGTGGTCTTGACTTGAATAGGAACAAGCCAGGAGCCTTGGCTTGGGTAACAATATTTTGATTCCTAGCTGGTTTAAGCTTTCCACCTGGCAAGAGGAGTAGACTACATGAAGGGTAAATCCTGATTCTTTTGGAATCTGTTACCTTTGCAGCCATCGTGTGGACTTTACCATTCTATGGAAGTAGAGACCCTTGTATCACGTGTGCAGTGAGGGCTTGGCAATGTTCACAGGTCACAGAAAGCTACTGATTTGGATGTTTTGCTCCTTATCTCCTAATAGTCTAAAGATCAGTCAGGATGGTTCCTCACTGAAGAAAAGAATCCTGTGTATCCAGAAACTTTATTTCAGTCCTAATGATGCTGTTGGCAGTGCACTCAGATGCCAGTTGTAGATATCACATTACACTGAATCATTCAGTGACAATTATACAGGCATCCAGAAGCAAGAGTATCTGCAGGTGTCTGTGTGGGAATGACTCAAATGATCAAAGTCTTGCCCTGTTTTATGTGCATATGACCATTTCACATGCAGAAAAAGGGCACCCCTGCCTGAAAGTATTGTGGAGCAGCAAGGACGTGTATATGTATTAACTGTTCCCTTTATTCCTGAAATGATCCTTCAGTTCTGAAACAGATTGTAGGTAAAGTTATCTGTGGCTTCCTTGTAAGAATTAAGTCATCATTATTGTAACATTTGGGTGATGTAACTCTTTTTTGTATTTGCTGTTCTTCAGAACATCTAAATACTTCCTTTTCTTGTATGGGTTTGTTTGTTTTCTACTCTGCCTCCATCCTTTGGCAGGAATATGGATTCCCAGTTGCAGTTACGCTCTTTGCTAATATATATGGCTAATGGGGACTTGATAACATTTTAAAAAGTAGCTTCTATATAGGCTAAAGTTAGGCAACCTTTTTCCAGCCCTCCTTGATCAAAGCTCAAAAAAAAAAAAAAAAGTGCTGGCACACTTTTTGTGCTATTTCAAGGCAGGATACTGGCCAAAAGTAGTGCAAAGCTTAAATATTACATTAAAAAAAATTCAAAAAGAATTTCTTAATGGAAGGGGGAGGGGAAACAAGAAAATTGTGGCTCTGCCCGCATGTCTGGTTTGACTGGGCATGATCACCATTATTGCCCTTTGCCTTCCCCAAAATGCAAAGTATCCCAAACCACTAGAGTGTCTGCCCAATGCTGAGTTAGATGATTGCTAAAATGAATGGATTTGCATATTAGCGTTATATGAGATACTTACCACTAAGTAGATCATCTTAGACTTTTGAGTGCTCTTTCATTTATTTATGAAGTCACTCACCTCATTTGAGAAGCAGTTGAATGGATTCATGGTTATCAGAAGTTAGTAATAAACATTTCACTTTAAGAGCACTTAGCTTTGCAAATTCTCAGCTTTGCAAATTATGATAATGATGAAACTTGTAGTAAATGAGTTTGTGATTTCTATATTTTGACTTGGGAATGTTGGTTCCCATTCTTCTGGAATTGCTGTTTGACAATGTCTGAATGGTTGCTGTATGATGGTAGGGTGGTAGTAAAAGTTATTTTCAAAATTCTCAAAATGGCAGCTAATACTCCAATTTGGAAGGAATTGATATGGGTCCTATTGTCTCAGATGATATTTGTATTTCAACAGCTTTTTAAATAAGCCAACCAAAGTTACAACCTGGACAAAAAAATAATCCTATGAGGCTAGTAATAAGCATTCTTTCCATTCCCTCCATATGAGAATTTAAGCCATGGGTAGTGTGGAAATTTAGGTTCTTAACTTCTGGAGAATTATTTCTATCAAAAGGGGACAGGCCAGTTTGTCCTTTCATGAGCAGTGCTTTTGTTTGGTAGTAGGAAAGGTTTTTTTTCCTTCTTTCATGATAAAAAAGTCAAGTGTGTGCCAGAAAAAGGAGATTATTCATCACTTTCCTCTCTGAATGAAATTCCTGGTTACCTATGGTAACCAAGGCAGCTGTTATACATAAGGGCCATTAAGAAGATTCAGATACTAGCAAAGTCTACAGATGTAGGTTTGTGTAACTAGCCAACATAATTGGCTTTCCATGCTTTCTTCTGTGCATTTCAGGAAGCTTGAGTTGCATGTCACATTGTGTTGACCTTTATGAATGTAAGTGGCTTGGAGAACCAAGCCTAAGTATACTTTTGGACTCAGTTGTCTAGGCCAAACATGGATGGCATAGCCTCACCACTATTTCCATTCAAAACCCTTGAATGAGCTTTAATATAGTTCATTCTGGGAAATTAAGGCCTCTCTTAGAACATTTTGCCTGCTGAGAAGTTTTTTTTTTTTAATAATTTTTTATTTTTCCAAACTCTCCCCCATACATATACCGTGATATTTATCAGATGTTAACATGCATTCTTTTTACATTCATATATAAGATACTTTTAATAAAATGAAATAAATACATACACATGACTTTTGGTGTTGCTCGCCCATTTTCCCTTTCACTGTATCCACACTCCTTCTCTACCTTCTTTCTCCCTTTCTTCTCTTCCCTACTTCTCTCTTCTTCCTCTCCTCTTCTCTTTCCTTCACCACTCTCCTCCCCTTTCTCCCCACTTCTCCTCTTCTCCTCCAATCTTCCTACTTCCTTCTCCCCCCTTTAATCTTTTCTCTCTCCTCCTGCTGAGAGGTTTTCAACCACTCCCCTGTGCCTACACCAGGGATTGAAAAGGAATGAGGCTGTGATGGCCTGGTTCCAGTTTACCCATGTAGTTTGAAAGATGGAAGAAAAGTGAAGGAAAGTTTATATCCAGATAAGTACAAATAGGCTCAGGTTTTAGCAAAAGGAGAAGAGTAATTTTTGGCAGCTCTGCAAAACAGTAGAATAAATGAGTTCTTCAAAGAAGTAACACTTGAGAGATTTAATAAATCAATGTAGATAGATTTGCTAAGTATGCCCACTTGAATATCCACATGGCTGATACATGGCTGTAGGAAAATGCATATTTTATATTCTCATCCCTATTATATGAATACCCAAGGGGTAGAGCCATCCAGATACAAAAATATGAATATATCATAAAAATACAAGGATGTAATTTAAAAAATGTTCTTTAAACTTAACAACAAAAGGACAATTTAAAATGTCCTCAATTTACAGCCATAATTGAACGCAAAATTTATTATTGGTAAGTGAAAAATTTTTTAAGTGAGCTTTGCCCCATTTTATGACTTCTTGCCACATTTGTTAAGCGAATCACTGCACTTGTTAAATTAGTAGCACGGTTGTTAAGTGAATCTGGTTTCCCTATTGACTTTGCTTGTCAGAAGGTTGCAAAAGGTGATCAAATGATCCCAGGACGTTGCAACCATCATAAATATGAGTCAATTGTCAAGTATCTGAATGTAAATCACATAGGGATGTTGCAACAGTCATATGTATGAAAAATGGTCACAAGTCACTTTTTCAGTGCCGTTGTAACTTTGCAACGGTCACTAAGTGAATTGTTGTAAGTCGAGGAATACCTGTACTATATATCCAGTAGAATAAAAGATAATGAAT